AGGCCGCCGGGTGAGGAGGAGGAGGCGAGCCCCTCACCCTCGTTTCTGGGCTCGGCCGAAGAGACTGGGGCCGTGTGCCTGTCCCGCCGTACCTGCGCCAGGCGCTCGCCCGACCTTCGCCACCGTGATGTCCGAGTGCCCCTTAGCTCGGTGGCACCGATCTGTTCGTTTCTGCTATTTATTCTTTCCGTGATGGTTTAAGAAAGAAAAGGAGGCATACTGCTCGATTGCCAGCAGTCTGCTATCTCTTTACATCTGCTAATTTCCTAAAACACATAGCTCTATTTAAAACATATGTGAGAACTACAGTGTTTTCACATGCCCTATACTTATTGCAGTTTTGCAATTCATCATCTGGACTGGGAAATTCAGGAATTGCAGACATATATATAGTGTCTGTTTTCCATCTTTGCTCATTCTCCACATCCAGGTAACATACAGATTAGCAGGGGCTTGGGTTAAGTGCCATCGAAAATAATGTATTTTGAAGTGCTGTGTAGATAATTTATGTCACAGGCAGACAGGAAGATGTTGCAGTTTAGGGCCAAATCCTGAAAAGTAATGAACGCTGCATGGCGTGTTGTGACCTTCTGATTTCTTGTTAAAACAGGATGTGGAGTGGTTGTAACTCCTGCTAAATATTTCTGTATGGTGCTGCAATGATACCTGGTGTCTATAAAAAGGATTGAAACAGCCACATTTATAATACATCCTCTTTGAAAGGAGAGGAGAAAAAAAAAAGGGGGGAAACTGGGCAAGTTTTCTGAGATAGTCTTTATATGATCCTTAAGACCAGATTTGAGAAGCATACAGGGGGTGGGGAAGGGGCTCATCTGAAGCACAGTGCCCTATAGCCCCCTGAAGGCACAATGCTGGCTGTTAGGAGCTGTACTGCCTGGTCCTTACGTGGGTCCTTACGTGCACTCCCTCTGAGTGCAGGGACACCAGAGGTGTTAGGCCTCTGCATGTTCTTTGTGGAGCCATTCTATTCCCGAAGGAAGAGATGGCAGGCCGCGCACGTGAAATTAGCCCATGAGCTGGATTCAGCTTTTTTGTTTGTCAGTTGGACCATACTGGTAAGGGAATGTAAACAACATCTGGAGTACCGTGTCCCGTTCTGGGGTCCTCCGTGCAAGAAAGTCATGGACATACTGGAGTGAATCCAGGGAAGGGTTATGAAGATGGTTAAGGGACTGGAGCATCTTATTTACAAGGAGAGCTTGAGAGTTGAGACTGTTCGGCCTGGAGAAGAGACGGCTCAGGAGGATGTTATCAGTGTGTATAAATACCTGATGGAGGGAGTAAAGCTGATGGAACCAGACTCTTCTTGGTAGTATCCAGTGAAAGAACAAGAGGCGAAGGGCACAAACTGAAATACAGGAAAATCTGTTCTCAGATAGGAAAAAACTTATTTACTGTGAAGGTGGAACGAGTTGCCCATGGAGGCTGTGGGGTCTCCATCCTTGGAGACAGCCAAAACCTGACTGGATGTGGTCTTGAGAAACCTGCTCTAGCTGACCCTATTTTGAGTAGAGGAGTTTGGATTAGACAGTCTTAAGAGGTCCTTGTCTTGCTGTAGTTGAAGAAACACATCTTTCTTTTAGTTTAAGAAACAACATTTTTTCCATTTTTTTGTTATTTTACTGTTCAATTGCTATGAATCGGTGAAATTTTTAGTGTTTATTTCGTCTGTCATCATTTGTTCTGCAGATGTCCTTTAGTGTGGCTGGTGAAGAGGACTTCTTTTTGGAAGAAAAAAGATTCAAGCAGGACTGTGAAGAATTTATTAAACATTCACAGCAAATAGGAGATGGTTGGGAGTGGAGAACTAGCAAGGTAAAATAATCTAAGTATCAGTAAATAGTTCCTACCTAATCTTCTTCTCAAGTTTTAAATACCCTTGCTGGCCTTTGTTGATTTGTTGACAACCTTTCCAAACTAGAACGTCCTTTAGAGTGGTTTACATCGCATGAAATAAATGACATTTTAAACAGCTGGTGCAAAACCAAGAAACTGCAAAAGTGATTTAGCTGAGGATGTAGGCCAGTACATCTATTAAATAGATTAATAGTTCATGAATCCAGAAACAACTGCTGTGATGGTGTAGTGCAACCTTTTACATAGCAAAGGGGTAGGATTATGCGGAATAATTTCTGTTCTGATCAGAAATGATCTTTCAAGGAATATTTATTAGATGACAAATAACAGAAGCATTCAGAGCAGAAAAAGAGCGCTCAAAACTCCCAGTGTTGGGGGGACAATCACACACCTCTTAGCAAGCCATTCTAATGGCTGACTATGCTTACAATTAAAAAAAAAAAATTCTACTTCTGACCTGAACTATCTACCTTCATCTTCTAGCCATTGGAACTTATACATTGTCTGCTAGGCTGAGTACCCTTCTTTTATCAGAATTCTCCTTATTTCAGTACTTTCGGATTAGAATCAATTCACCCCTTAACCTTGCCTGTGTTAAGCAAAACATATTGAGCTCCTTGGCTGTTTGGCATGTTTTCCAATCCTTTAATCATTCTTGTGGATCTCTTCTGAATCCTTTCCAGTATATCAACATCCTTCTTCAACTGAGGACAGAACGAGACAGTGGATGTTATAGCAGTGCTAAATTCAGATGTTATAACCTTCCTGCTCCTAGCAAGTTTCTTTGGTTATATACCGAAGGATCACTTTAACTCTTCAAGCTGAAATAGCACATGGTGAGCTCCTATACATCTAATTACCCATAAGCCTTTGCATGGGTTTTATGCCTAAGGATTGAATCCTTCATCCTACAGTCTTTGTCCTAGATGCACCCATCTATTTGTATTTAAAAATGCATGTTATTTGCTTGCTTACAGCAACCAGTAAAATCTATCTATATGAGTGATCAATCCTCATTATTTACTGCTTCCCCACCATTTTCAAACCTCACCAATAATAATTACATATTGTTTCTAGGTCATTAATCAAAATTTTAAATAGCACAGGGCCAAAACTAATCCCACAGGACCCCATTAGAATCACTTCTTTTATGATGATTCTCCATTTTTAAGTTACATTTGAGATGTGTGAGTTAACCATTTTTTCATCTTTTTAGTGTGTGTCACATTAGTTTTGGGTTATTTTAATTTTTTAATTTCTGCTTGTGGAATCTACAGTTGCCTTATGGAATTCTGTGCATATACTGTCACCACTTTTATCTTTATCAACCAAACAAATCTTTTTACCTTGACAAGATCTGTTTTTATTAAAAGGAATTACATTTACTGGCTTCAATTTTTCATTTACTGAATTCTATATCAAATCTTCTGTTATGTTGCTTGGGATGATGTCAAGCTAATATGCATATAGTTACTCAAGCTATCCAGTATGTGTATATTAAAGATATATTGGTACATGCTGGCATTCTCCCAAGTTCTCTGAAACTTCCGCAGCGCTCCAAGAAAATCAACAATTCTTAGGTGTATTTAAGAATATTGATGATAGCCACTTCGTGTTACTGTCCTACTTAACCACTTCTGAAATGAAAATTTTGTAATAATTGTAGAATATGGCTATATCATTTATATTTGTTCTCGAGTAACAACAAATATTTTGAACACTTGCTTTTTCTACTTCAAATGCTTCTGTTATTTGCTATCTAATAATAGATCCATATTATTTTATGATTTCTTTTTCCCACGCTTTTTTTGGCTAGGTGGGCAACGTAGTTTTTCTTATGTTCTCTTGCTTCTCATGCCGATTCTCAGCAAGGAATGGTTTGGAATATATACTCATTATTATTAACTTTTTGTTTCTTCCGTTTACAGAATCCATGTTGCTAGTTTTCTTTTTTATTTTATTTTAATGGCTCAGTTCCCATCCTTTCATGAATTTTGGGGAGAAAAGTCATCCTGGTACCATTCTGAAGTGCAAGAAGTCCCGGAGTAAATACATGATATCGCTTTTACAAAATAATTATACATTAGCATTTGTAACCCTTTCATCACAGATAAAACTGAATTTCAGTATGAAGAAAGAGCTTGGTCGTAGATACATTCTGTTTAGAACACACATGGGTTTTTAAAATGCTGAAAATATTAGCCAGCTATTACAAAACACCCTTTCTTACAGGCAACCATTTGAAACTTTAGATTTCAGTCCAAGGCTGTATTTATGAGGGATTTATTCAGCAAAGAAAGATGCTATGAACCTCTATCGGGAATTCAATACATGGGTCAAAGTTTGAACTTTCTGTGAAATAGGAAGCTTTGCTGGAAATAGTGAAATGAGATAGATTTTTGTTCTCACTATAAAAAACGGTGAGAGTTTTTTTTAGTGGGCCAAGCTGGCGACTCTGTGATTTCAGTGTGTGATAAAAACCTGGCCATTAAGAACATCCATTTATAATATATAATCAGGGAAGAGAACTTGTCTTGGCCAAGATGTCTCATTGTTTTTTTTTCTTTTTCTTTTTCTTTTTTTTTTTTTTTTTTTTTTAACAATTTATGTGCTATGGGTAGTTTGGGGCACTCTTAATTTTCCTGATGTAATTCACTTGGATCCCATTCCTCATTCCATGCTCACGTGAATAGACCCATTGATAGCAATAAGACCACACAAGTAAACTAGACTTGTAGAACTATGTTCTTATGTTTTCTGTGGAAATTAAACTTAAATGGTGAAATGATATCCATTTTTTTTGCTGAGCTGGCTCTTCTGGCATAAGCATGGCCCAAGCAGAACCCTATATTTACAGCTTTAAGTGAAGTGTTCTAAACTGTGTTATTTTTATAACCTGTTTTTTTTTCCAAATAAATCTGTAAAAAAGCCAAAGGCACCTCAGTTGTAGGACCTGATGGAGGTGAGTTTGGGCATTAACGCTGATGTTACTCGGATTGGATAGTTAAATCTCATCAGTGAATGCTGTTGCTCCTCTTGCTGTCTCTTTTGTTTCATGTTTAGTTAGGTTAACCTAGGTAATCATGTCAAAGGCTGTGTGTATGGCTTCACTTGTTTGTGATGCACACTTATAAGGCAGTTGGAGTAGAAGGGAACTCCCATTACCCATTTTGAGGATCAAAGTCTGCACTAAAGTATTGATTTGTTTATAGGGCAAGAAGTATACACAGTATGTACACTATAGAGAGTGCAACGGGAGGGATGCTTCTCTTTCCTGTCTCCTCTTCACCGACCTCTGACGTGTAACTGTCAAATGCAGAGACTGCTAACTCCCTGTTTCCATCTGTCCGTAGATATTTTTCAAGGCATTCAAATACTATAGAATGTGAAGGCTGTTAGAGCTTTGGCTCCTTCTTTCCCCTCGCAGGAAAAACTGGTTCAGGGAGGTGAGTGTTATATCCAGCCCTTCTCTGGCAAAGCTGATGGTGCCTTGGGGCAGTTCACCTCTGTGGGCGGCAGTAGTACTTTCTCTGCTGTTCTCAGGGGGATAAATACCAATGTAGGGAGCTTTACTCTTGCTGACCCTCACAGGAAGCTCCACAGGAAAGAGAGACTTCAGAGAGCTTTGAATAAATGACTTTTGTGTTGCCAAGTTAGGCCTAATTTTTCTGTCACTGTTGTCCTCTTGCGTGCTTGACTTTTCATAGCAGAAGATGCTGTTGGTTCTACAATAGGACGTCCAGAAAAGTTTGGAGTAGTCATGCTCTTGATGATATTTAGTGGGAGAAAAAAAGCGTAGCAGTAAGAGAAGTTATGAGCAAGGTAATATCATAATACCAAACTCCATAATAGCATCCGTGATTAAAACTTCACAGACAAAAATGCAGATCAATAACATGGTCGTTTTATTTCAGGTATGAAAGTTGGTAAGAACAAAGTACACAAACAGCCTATAGCAGATGCTGGAATTATATATTTCTACAGTATCACTGAAAAGAGAACTGATGTGTCAGAATAGAACACATGTTGATTTAAAAGTCAGACTACATGAAATAAACTGTGTCAGAAGTGATGGATTAACTGAACAGTTAAGTTACAGTTAAATTTGCAGCCTTGTCAAGCAATTTAATGCTATATTAATGAATTTTGTAGAGAGACTGTTTTAAGTAGAATCCTTTCACATCAGATGTTGCACATAAGCTTTCTGTATTTGTTTGTTTAAAATAAAATGTGATGAAACAGCTAATAAAACCCTATTTATTTGTTTCCTTGAGAAATAAGTCCTTAACATGCAACTACTGTTCTTTGTGTTCTGTGTGCTCTTCCTCCATTCCAAAGTGCACATTTTTCTAGCGATCTGTTATTAAACTCTTTTCTCTCTTCTTATTTCTAATTGACAAAATAATCTTTATATATGTGTGCAGATAGTCAGGTCAGCAATGGGGGAAAGCCCTTAAAAGCTTCTTCTGCCACTGTGAAATTGCACAGGGGCCTTTCACAACAGCAAACCACGTGGCCGGGAAAGCAGAATGATAAAAAGGGAACTGGGAGAAGGTATGGATATCGCTTTGTCTGTTTTCCCTTACATTTGACCCTCAGAGCTGATCAAGAGAAAGCAACAAGTTGTGACTCTGCACGCACAGGTTCTGAGTTTTTTTTAGGACTTTATCAAAGTTAGTAGAGGGAGCAGAACTAATATCAACCAAAGTACCAAGAACTGGGAACTTTATACTGGTGTGAGTGCATTGCTTGAAATTGGTATGTCCAAATCACTGTCAGCTGCTTATTTCTTCATGACCTTAATGCACTGTCTTCCAACTCTTTGGCACTAATCCTGGTCCCCAGATATCAGTTGACTCATTCAATTAATAGCTATATTAAATTTTATTTTCACTATTCAGGTCTTTGACTTCCGTAACACCGAGAACTTGTATAAACTACCTGTGAGGAGATGCTGAGAAGCAATGCAGTCATTGGTGCCTACAAAAAGACTTAGAGCTTATGCCTAATTACCATGTAGTGTTTATTTTATAGAACAGTGATAGCATGTAGCATTTTGGTTACAGAAAATATTTTTCTTTTCTGTTTTCTGGACACAGGACTTTGCTGATGGTTATCTTAGTAAAACGCACTTCCAAATAACAAGTAGAAATGTCTCACCAGATCTCAAGGAAAAAAACAATGATAACATTGAACAAACGTTATTTATGCATGTTGAAGTAAGTACAGATTTTTTGTATTTATAGACTTTTATGTTTATAAAATAAATCATGAGCATTAACAAATTATGTATTATACTATTCAATACTTGAACACCTAATCCCTCCAGAAAGATTTCAGGTCTTAAGTTATGAATGGCTTTTAATAATTCTTCATAGAATTCTTATGTATGCAGCTAAATTGGAGATGAAAATTGGGACGAAGTCGAAAGGTTACAGCATCTTATATATGTGTTATTCTCATCACGGAAGGATATTTGTTTACATATTAATTCACTAACATTAAGCTTTTTGGAAAAGATTAAGCATCAAGATTTAGTTATGTTAAAGGTAAATATTAATTAAAGCAAATGTTGAGGTTAATATTAATGTGAGATTATATTTACTGAAGAAATAACTCATGTATAGGAGTTCTATACTCATAAGGCTATTAGTATGAGAAGTATTTGGACACTTTGCTACTGTGGCACTAATTCTTACAAATATTGAGCACTTATTTTAACTAGTGGTGGAAGGAGAAAATAGCGTTGGAGTTCTTGAAGAAAAAAAAAAACTTCTTTCTTCCAGAAAATGAAAAGTGTTCATTAAACTCAAGGTGAATTGCTTTGAATAATTATTTGCTTGTTTGACTCTGCATTAGACATCCAGATTATTGACTAATCGGGATACAAACATGAGAAATTTACTCCCTTGTTATGTTATTATCATATATGTGAAAAGAATTAATGGATTTTAATTGACTGAAAACAATACATTCTTTATGTTATAAACGGTTGAATTGATTGACGTGGTATATTTTTCAGTTACTTTTTTCTGTGGCAATTCCTTTTCTTTTTTTCATCAGCACATTGATTCTCTTTTTCCCAGAGAACTCTGCTACAGGATCTGAAATGAGTATTCTTTTGGCCTGATTCCTGAAGGAAATGACAGTTATAAAATCATGCTATCTGTTAGTCTGTGATATTGTCCTTTCTACTGATTTTTGAGTTCACTGACTAATTTCATCCAAATTTTAAAGAGAGGTTAGATATCAAAAAGAATTAAATTACTGAAAGCTGATGACTGGCTGGATGAAAGGTGACTTTTACTAGCAGACAAAATTCTGGTCTTTACCTTCTATTTGGCTAGTCAGCGTAAGTGTAGGAGTGGCACCTTGGTCCTTCAGAGTATGATGAGGAGCAGATGAGTGCTGGAATTGTTGTTTGAAGGCTAGGGTTCAAACAACACAAGCAGGCTGGAAATGTGATGTAGTTCCATTGCTGATAGAACCACTTGTTTAATACGGCCGAAAAAAAGAAAAAAAAGGAATTATAAAATTTTACAAGGCTGTTGCTGACACACCAGCTTTTATACAAATTGGAATCCGTGTCATCTTTAGAATCATTACCTTATATTTGTTTGATAGGTGCCAATTATAAGCATGATGTGCAAGTTACCTGAAAGGTACCTGAAGCATTTAAAATTTTCCTCTAATTTAAATTCTAGTGTTTCTTAAAATAAAGGTTAGTATCGGTGCTTTGCTTACTTTATCACTCTGTTTGTATACTTCAGTCCTGACTTGTAAGAACAGATTACTATTTATGTTCAGAATTACTTTCGACGATTGTGCCATTGTTTTTATAATGAATCAAGTCTTCATTACAGAGTAGATTTTAAATGAACATCTTGTAAAGCTGTTGGGCCCTTCTTATGGAAAGAAGTATTGGCTGCAGAAAAAGTATCACAAAAAAGAGGGCTTCAGAGGTCTAGTCTTTAATATACTGAAACATGGTTTCAGATCAAGCCCTATGGTTTATCAAGGTACTAATAATTACCTTGTGAAATATTGTAAAAGATTTCTGTGTTTAGAATCATAGAAGTGTCTAGTTTGGAAGAGACCTTTGAACATCATCTGGTCCTCTTCAGAAGGAGTCTTTGCTCATGTTGCACAGTAGCAATAAAGAGGAAGAGCGAAGCAAGAGAACGATCTTAGAATATGACATAGGTTATAGGACATGAGCCTACATATAAGAAAAAAAATTGAGTTTCCTCCCCAAAATATTTATTGCCTAATAGAGATTATATCAAATTTATATTCTTCATTAAACTGAAGGGGAACCCTGCCATTGAAAACATAGTTATTTAACCTAGAAAATGGGAGAAACACAGAGGTAAGTTAGAAAATCAAATTTGCTATGGATGTGTCAAACTGTATATTCAACAATAAGGAGAAAGTAATGGAAGTAATGACTGCAGAGGGGACAAATCTGTTTAAGTAAACTCATGTGTGTATTGGAAACGTGCTCTTTTCCACCTATGTTGAATGTCAAAGTCCTTGTTGTGCTATTCTTGAACAGTCTGTTATTTAAATAGGTTTTGTTATTATGAAAAACACAGTTTACATCAATAAATTGCATAGTGTTAAATAGTTACTACGGTTACTCTTTCTAAATGTTGTTGAAGTATGTTCTAATAAAATAGAGTTCAACAAAGAGTGCTGGTTTTGAGGAAACTTGGAAATTCAGTAGTTAGCATATTTTCTTAGAAAATACTAGAAATTTTATTTGTATATATTTGAAAGCTGAAGGAGCTCAAGAGAAGAATATAAATTTCTTTCACAAAGTCTATGGCCATTGTCTGACAGTTTTACAGTCTAGAATTACTATTGCGATCTAGATCTTTGTCGTATGGTATCTTTACTACACGTTTCACCGAGATAGATGCATCTGTGTTTGTTGTCTGATCTTCTCCTTCAAGGTGTGGTAGGAAATACCATACATAGTTTTTTATAAGATAGCTAATTAGGAACAGCCAGAAAGAAAAAATTAGGAAAATGAAGTGCATATAATCAATAAACAAAGATATGTTATCCATTTATTGGAAGAACAAGCAAAGACAAAGATAGGGGAAAAAAACCTTCTGTGGTATCTGACATGGCATAAGAGGCAACAAGATTTTCTTCTAGAGTGTTCCTGGGAATGCAGTTTGGAAATTACTATTAGAACAGAACTTTAGTTTTGTCAGGCAAGGTGAGAATTAGGAAGAAAATTTGAAGACAAATTTTTGAAGCTGGAACGAAATAGTGAAATTATCCATGATGAGACTATAACTCCTACTTAAGTAATTGAGCGAAAGAACATATCAGAAAAGAGGTGGTGCCGAATAAATCAGTGGGTATATTCTGTTGTAGCAAAGAATACAAATAGGATGTTGAAATGACAGAGAAGCAAAATTACTACTTTTCTGTTTGTTTTTAACCTGTCAATGGATCCTACAGTATGATGATACAGTGCAGAAGAATACAGAGCAGCTGAATTGAAATAACTTTATTAAAATAGAAAATTAATTATCGGGTATCAGAGTATCAGAAATTTGCTGATCTTATATGATCCACAGGGAAACTAATGAAATTATTTGAGAAATTTATTTCAGCTCATTACTCACAAAGACAGTTAACTTTTCCAACTTTTCTAGCTCACTCTGTGGTACCTAATATTTGGAGTCTTCCTGATGAGGGAGTTATCTATTCTGGTCTCTTCTACAGGGCAGTCTGTATTATGTGGTATTTTTTGTTCCATTTATGCAGCTTTATTTTAATGAAGAGAAGCAAAAGTATCTACAAACCAAGAATAAAGTCCCATGTGGGATTCTTTTTGCTTATTTTAGGTATCTGCAATATAGATCTGGTCACTTAAATCATTGTTTACAGCCTGAGAAGGGAAAAAAGCATTTTTTGGTACAATTCAGTCAACCTATTTTTGATGTCTTCTCTAGGACAAGATGAATCTAGAAATATCTGCTTCTTTCATTCACAATCAAGAGAAACTAGATGGTTAACTCAGATGAAGTTGTCTGCACTTTGTCGCATGAATCTCATACAACCAAATATGGGTATGAGCCCATTAAAAGCAGTAATAATTTTTGCTGTTGACTTCACTGAGGCCAAGATTTCAATTTGACAGTGAAGCTTAAAGTTGGTTGAGGACTGTATTTTGTAAAGCAGCGACTCGAAAAAAGGGCTTAAGGGTAAGCCACTGGAACAACTGACATTGGCTTAAACTTTGAAGTCTTTATATTGAGACTCGCATGCTTGACTTGAACTGGTGATTTTAGGTTTTGTGCAGTGGAATACTATGGCCTTTGTCATACTTGGGGTCAGAATAGTCAGTCACAGCCAGTGCATGTAATGGAGCTGTACATGTTAGTATACCGAAGCATCACTGTTTTCTTTTTTGAACAGCACAATATCACCATTTTTTTTTTTTTGACAAATTGCTGTATTCCAGCTCCTGTTGGAACTGCTGGCTTGCACAGTGGTTCCTGATTTGCAGGTATTGAAAGTTGCTAATGATCAGCTAATTGGCAGTAAGTTGCTATAATGTGAGGCAGCTCACTCTATAGTTCTGGAAGGAAGGACGCTAAGAATAGGTTTGGGAACTACTGTACTATTCTACAGCAAGTTGGCATGTTGTTACCTAGTATAAAGCGGGTTCTCCGATTTCTGCAACTGAAGGCTTCTGCCGTGCACATAAGTAAGTTAATTGATGGTTGCTTCAGTTAATGAGCAAGTCTTCAGAGTCTGTCTTCTTGTTGTACTTTCACATGGCAGTAGTCCTCTGACATCTAGTTTTCAGACACACTCTTGCTAAGTGCTAAACTGTCCTAGGCAGTAGAGGAATTATCTTATGAACTCAAATGAGAAGTGCATAGGGTGCAGGAAACTGTTCAGACGGTCCACTTTTAAGTGGGTACAGTGTAAGAATCATGAGTTGGGTTTTATTCTCTACATTGAAGTCACCCTTAATACAAACTTAGGTTAAGGTGAATAAAAAGAAGGATTTACGTCTGCCTAGTTGCATTGACATTATAAAGGCAAAGGATTTGCACACAAGTATGCTTAAATACTAATACCTACTTATAGCAGTTTCAGAAAGTTTCTCTTTGTACTTGTTGGTTGCTGAGTTGTCAAGTCATTTATCCAACCATGTGTCTGGGGATGCTGGTTTATGCAGACCCTATCT